AGGAAATGAGATAGGATAAAAAAGATGCTTTTTTGAAGGAATAAAGTGTTGATCATGTTTTCAGGAAAGAGCCAAAAATAGCACACACTTCACCGTTGCAGAGGCGCCATCGATTTTCGAGATCAACAGCGCACGAATTCGAGGCAGTAGCCGTTCTTTATTTCAATACTCAGTTTCACCTTTTATTTATTTTTTTCCTTCCTGCTGATGAGAAAACAAGTTTGGGTTACGGATAATGTGAAACGTGGGAAGTCAGGATTCACAAATACAACCAAAGTTTTCCCCCACGTCAATCACGTACACCATTTGACTTGCGTCCATTAACACTTACAGAATAATAAAAAATGAGTTCGTTAAAACTGAACTATCGTGCAATGTTAAAAAAATAAATAAAAAAAAGCTAAACAGTAACCTAACGTATAAATTATAAATGTATTTAATTCTCAATTTATCAAGGCCACAGTTTTAAGTGCTTTACAGCTAAATTAAGACTCAAACTACAAACAATTTATTTCTGAAAATTCAAAGTACAGAACTTGAAAATGAGCTAACAACCTTAATAAATATTTTCTTTAAAAAATTAACTCTATTAAGAAATCGTAAATTTGGCGTGATTTTTCTTGCATCAAATTCATTGATAAATTCTCAATCTTTGCATTTTTTTATGACCCTAACAATGTAGAGCAGTATTTTTCAATAAAATTTAAAAGTTAGATCGCAAAGGATTTTCATTTATACAAAATTGTGATTTTTCCTCATACTGACATATTGGAACAATTTTGTAATTAGCAATATCTAATCACTATATCTATATACACACATATATGTTGCAACATTCATTCAGTTTTTAAACTAAGCATTAATAGCTAATGATATAAAATTTTAGTTTATTAAATATAGTTTAAGGGATATACAAGTTTTAATACACTAGGAGAGATTTAAATAACATTCTAAACGTTATTAAATCACTAACGTTAACCTAACACATAAGCTTATGTGAACTTTGAAACACGAAACAGTTATACCATTGACTTTCGCGTTATGATTCAGAAATAATTATTTACAGAAACTACATTCAGTTAATTAAATTTTATGCAACTACATTGCATTTAAGCTCCTTCGAAAATGAAAATAAATAAAAAGCAAAAAATATTTTATCAAAGATTTAAATCCAATTATGATAAAATAATAACTAACACTGCTTAAAACTTGTTTGCACTCTGAGGGCCAAAGAGATTTAATTGATATTGCATTAGCCCAAGGAGAAACCATGCGGCACAGCAACAACTGTTTTCATGCAGGGAACCAGCATTTTTGTTTACTGTATTGATTACTGGCATTTAATATTCATGTGTTGTTCTTACAATTGTGTATACTTCAAAAATGAAATTTTTCCTTTAGACAATTTTTTTTTTTTTTTATTAAAAACCCCGGGGTCCTTTTTCAACCCTGCCACTATGCTACATATAAACTACAAGCCATAACGTTAACTAGATGCTCACATAATTACAAAAGGTCAAAAAGATGTTCGATTTCAAATTGTAACCCCAAACAAGCATAATGAATTGATAAAGTAAACAATCACTCTCTCGAACGCATTTATCCCCCATGCAACCTAAACAACAAACGAGATCCATTAACTCTTTGTGGCATCGAACTGTTGTGTTGCCGATTGATTCTCAGAAACAAAGAGCCTGCAAACAGCTGATTCAACCCACGGAAGCGATTGCGAGAGTGATAAAGGCCTCACAGTTGAAACAAGAAGGTAAAAAGAAAGTAACAAAACCGCTTATAATCAAGTACAGGGTTAATGAGTAAGAATGCGTCCTCCATTTGAACGGAAGGTCGGCAGCAGATGTTCAGGCCAGCCGACGGCTGCTCCGGCATTACAATAAGAAAGTTTGATTTTATTTAAAGAGACATGACCAGAGATCAAACAGTGAAGGCTGCCTATTCGTCTCGAGCAAGAGTTCAAGGAAAATAAATAACGTTAAAAATAATACACATTTTTAAAAATAGATTTAATAATGCACCCCAAAAATTTTTCATACAGTGTGGTTACTTTTTAAAAATATAAGTGACAATATTACAATAAAAGGTATTGTATTGCACCTGGATTCATAATAATGAAAAATTAAACAAAAACGATAAATTTAGCCCCAGATTTATTAAAGTATAGACTTGGTAACAAAAAAAAGTTAATGAAAGCTAATTTTGAGCGATTTATTGAATTTGACGCAAGCCAGTTAAAAACTTACTGAACCCCAAGATACTAATTGATGAACCTACTGATTATTGAATTTCAACACACCAGCACCAAAAAGGAAAGAATGAAATGTATAGAATTTCAGTGTAATTTACAACTAATAACAAAAAAAATAGTAAAAATATGAAGGAATACAATACCAATTTGATTGAAAAGATATCAAAATTTAAGTGAATAATTTTACACTGCACATGAGCAGAAAACATATTAAGATCTTGAAATGATAATTCGCAATCTAAACCATTTTAAGACTCGCATTTAAAATATGATTTGCAATCAACTCCTTTAGGCAACTGTTTTCGCTTTTAAATCATTAGAAAGTTCTAAAAAATTTTTATGTTGGTATTTCGAAATAAAATGATTTTAAAAAAAAAATCATGATTTTTCCCAATATTGCTCTTGGGCACTACAACCTCTTTCGAACCCATAAACAGTCTCCTCTAAGTTTTCATTGAAATATTACGTGTAAAGCATTTAGGAAAAAGAGTGGTAGGATTTAATTATTTATGCTGACAATAGGGAATTAAAATCAGCCAACAGATAGAATATTTTTATTGTATTATTTATTTTCTTTTTTTACGTTCGATAAAAATGGTATTTTCTTCTGATTTTGTTTTGTACCGAAAACCATCGATGCTGATTAAAATTTTAATTAAGATTAAATTAAGTAAAAGAAAATATTCTATTACAGTTCTCCCAAACCTTTATATGGTAGGGAATCAATTAACGTTGGATATTTTTTCTGCTACCCTCTAAGGTACCTACGTCGATTGCTTATACTTATGTTATATTTTGCTTTTGATTCTTTGCGAAAGTCACGTAATTAATGTAATCTAAACATGCCTTCAAAAAATAATAGTTACTATCGCAGTATTGGTGCGGCTTTAGGTGATGTCTTTCAGTTTCCTGTTAACCTCTCGTTCATAGAAAGTCGCACAAACCCGAGGAAAATACACCACAGTAAATAAAATGGAAATAATTCAACGTTCNACCTAACAGAATTCTTTGCCGACTGTTTTCTTTATAAATGAAGAAAATAAAGTAAATATTTAAGTGTTGTGAAAAGAATCTTATTTAGTTGTACAAAGTACTTCAGTCAAAATTTGGGAGAGCCACGTAAGAGAATTGTATATATTAGATCAGAAACACATCATTAAAAGGCAGAATGTTTTGGTGTTTTCAAAACGTAAACAAAACAAAGCAAACGTTGCCACCGGCGGAAAAGAAATACAGCCAAAATTTGAGAGCCACGTAAGAGAATTATATATATTAGATTATAAGCATGCAGATTAATATTTCTCAAATGTTTATTAAAGACTATCAATAACCTTCAAACACATCTTTAACAGAATATAAATCGAGATTTTTATTATTATTAGTGCTTTATTTAGATGTCGCACAGAGTATACCTATATTCATTTAAATTCTGTTGAATAACTGCATATAAAAAAGTTCATAAGCAGCTGTGAAAATACTAACCATTAAAAAAAGGGCAACTGATTATTCAGTAAATATTTAACGCAAAGAATGAAATATTTTTAAATTCTAAATTAGTTCTTGGTTTATGCATCAGCTGAAAATGAATGAAATAAGCTGAATTATTTTCACAATTATAAATATCGGGAATAGTATTATCGCTTATACTTTCCGTGTGCCGATGGTTCGATGAATGGACATCTTATTTACCCCAAATTAAAAGGTATCGCTATTGGCGATACCTCCTCTTTTGGTATTTAACATTTATAGATGGTAGCAAGCCAGCAAAAAATAAAAATATTATATTATAACCCACGTTTCTAATTTTTTTTTCTTTTTGTCAGTGTTAACATACTAGAAGGCAAATCCATATTAAAGGGGTGAATATTAGAATTTTTGTCAGATTTTTGTGCATTTTTTCTCTCTCACATTTTTACATTTATATTTTTCAAAAAAAGTTATCTTTTAAGTGTATAATTAAATATATTTCATTGTATGTTCCAACCTTTAAAATTATCTTTCATCATATACACAACATTAAAGACAGTGAAAGTAACACTTCTCACCTACAAAATCCTTGCTTGTGGAAACTTTGAAATCTTAAAACAACCTTATTTTGCTTTCAAATTATTATTATTGCAATAAATATGCTTACATTTCTACATCATTTTATGGTCATTAAAAAGTTTTTAACACTTCTGTTAAAAAATTTGTTTAAATTTTTACATCCTATAAATGGGATATCAAATATCTGAACTACATAATTATTGAATGATTTTTACACTTTATTTTAGCATTCAATAACGTGCACAAACTAAAGTTTACAGTTCACACTTTCTTAAATATGAACATTATTTCCTGGACTATCTTCTTTCGTTAATTTAAAAGACAAAAATTGCTTTAGATTTTACATCGCAATACTTGTGTAAAATACACGAAATGTATAAGTAGCATGAAGCTCTGATGTAAAGAAACAAACTATGCAGAAGGTAAAAAAAATATGAGCTTTTAATTCTTTGCTGAACTGTATGCAGCAACGAAATTAAGTGATTTTCCATAGTAATACTTTTCCAACCTTGTACTTTTTTTTTTAATCAGCAGCAGAGAAAATTGTTTCCACAGTTTTATTTTTGTAACATTATTCGACTTATTTTCGAATAAAAATTCCATAATAGCTGGTATTGAAACAAATATCACCAATATATAAGCATGCAACAAAACTAATCAATTTTTTTAAAAGAGAAAACACTACACTAACCTTATATGAGGTATTCCAACACCACCTTGTAGAATCTTGTATAATTTACTTTCATATAGTAGCTGAGGATGGCGAGCTTTAGTCGATTCCAATTTTACAGCCACTTCCTAAAAATAATAAATGTGAAAAAGGTTTACATACGCAAGTTCATATATATCTAAATCTGCACCAAATATATATTCAAATTTTTATGCCTTAGTCATTTTATTTTAATCTCAAAGTAACAATAAATCATTAGAAAGAGGTTAGCAATATAAACATCTTCTACTTAGAGACTGTGATCTATAAAAACCATTATATTTTAATTGAATATTTAGAACTTTAAAAAAGTTGTACTATGCATTCAACCTGTGAGCAATTTCACTTGGCAAGAGAAAATGTAAATTATAATCTAAGCACAAAAAGCTTTTCAAATAATAAATATGTTTTCACTTTAACAGGAAGAAAAAATAAATTAATTAAAATAAAATTTTACCTTGTTGATTTGTGCTTATTAGAAGCTTTAAAAAAAATTACATTATTAATAACCTTTTTTTATTAGACATCTATCATGAAAGTAAAAGTTATGTGTGTTACTTTTTTATAACTCCAGAACAGCCTGTGATGGGATCCTAAAATATCAGTCTTAAAAATCATCCCAGTTTTTTCCAGGGCAAATGAGGTGTACTAAAAAAAGCGTTTTTAACAGACAATTTACAGCTTTACTAAATCAACGATTCAAAGCTTCCTTGAGAGTTTAATGCATGTTTTTTAAAAATTATTTATCTGCAGTTCCTTTATTTCAATTAAGCACTTCAAGTAAAATCAACATGGATAGCTTTTGTGACATATCATATGTGGGAGATATGATATATACTGTATTAGTATTTTGAGAGCTATATGAAATCTCATTGTTATTTTGTTTACAGATACACTATATAAATACCTAAATAAGTAAAGCAAGCAGCAAAAAAAGCATCATTGGAAAAATAATGGGCATGTGGTATATTTTTAACTGTGATGGATTGGCCTCGAACAATTTAATAACATGTAAAATTTGGAAATCAGTTTCAGTTGGCCTCGAAAAATTTAGTAAAAGGTAATATTTGGTAATCAGTTTTGGTTGGTCTCAAACAATTTAATAAAAGGTAAAATTTGGCAATCAGTTTTGTAACTCCAGAGCCATATGTACTAGAATCCTAAAGTTTGGTAAAAACATGAGGAGATTCAACCATTCTAATTAAACATACAAACGGTGGAAAACTATATATTACAGTTACACGATTTTTATATATTTTTAATGTAAGCAAAAAGCAAGATAAAATTTTCTAATCATACTTAGCTTAGTTCACTTTCTTAATGCTATTTGTTTTGGATGTTTCCTTGCTTAAAAAGAATAATAAAAACAATAATTAATAATAAAGATTTCAACCCATACAAAGATTGTAACCCATTCATCAAAATACCTAATTAGGAACTACTACAGTAAATGCAACTCTTTAAGTTAGCAATCACCTAATTCAACCTTTGCTTATATTTTAAACAGTTGAATATGAATACAGTGAGAGCTATAATACCCTAGATCAAATATGCTTAGCTTGATAGGCAGTTTTAGATCAAATATGCAAATATGAGTAAATTAGATCAAATATGCATAGCTTGATTTGCAGTTTTTTTTCTCTCCGGAAAACTGTTTTCTCTTCAGCAAAATTGCTACTCCAGTGATTTGTTGATACTCAGGAACTATCAATATAGTACATTCTAATAAATCTGAACTACCAAAATTTCAATATGGTACATAAAAAAGAAAGGTCTGAACAGGTAATAAAATGGGAAGATTGTCATATTGAATTCACATTACACCAACTGCAATCAACAGGACACACAAGTCCTACTCCCGGTACTCGAACTTACAATAAATTAAAAATTAAAAGGTTCCAATATTTGAAAAATCTTGGTACATTTCTGATATTTCCTAGAAAAATATTTGCACTATCTTCCTCCTTCTTAATTTGATCTTTTAAAAAAAATTTAAGAAATACAAAGCATAAAATTATTAATGTAATTAAATAATCTCTTGATACTTACAACAAAATTTACATTAACATAATAAAATATAAAAAAAAATTTAAGAAATTTCAAGTCTAACAAAAGTTTGACTTTCTTTTGGTCAAAGAACCATTTATCTATGGTTTTGAGAGAAAGAAAATTCCAATTAATCATCATAAAATCATTCAATGTTTGCATTAATGATGAATTGATAATTTGATGATTAATTATTAGTTTATATTAAGTTACTGTGACTGAAGCCACATGATGTGAATGTAGGAACTGCATCATTTCCAATTAGTTGGTTAGGGGGAAAATTTTTTTGGTTAAACCATGTTTTTAGAGGAAATTCAGAATGAATATTAGGGGAGAGTGACTCACCTTGGGACACAGTACACCTTGGGACATTTTTATTTTTGGTCTTAAATTTTAAACTATCTTTTAGCTCTTTTAGATTCAGATAAATGTCAGCATCACCTAACCTTGGAACATATTTTGATTCTATTGATTAAGCAGGTAAGAATTTATTAAGATTTTCATTTTTTGAAGCATGTTCATTTACTTTCATATAAAAGTTTAATTAGTTGTAGAAAGAAATTTTAATGAAATTATTTTTAATAAAAGATAATATAACGAAGTAGAAAGCTTTCTTTTTAGAAGTTATCAAATTTAATTGTTCTAATGCTAAGCCTAAAAGTACATTTTAAAATATCCTATTAAGTATATAGTGTACTCTTTGGGACAGATGGAGGTGGCCCACCTTGCTTATTAAATATAGATTTTTTACAAAAAGATATTGTGCATGCAAAGTATTTTTTAATTTATGTAATCCGTGTTTATTAATAGCTATTATTTCTTATTTTAGGAATTCATTAGACCTAACTAAAGACAAGAATAAGAAGCAAAAAGTATAAAAAATAATGCAGCAGTTCATGGTAACAATGTTGAAAAAGCTGCTGAATTCTACAGTATTAATAAGAAGACTCTGAACCGCCATTTTATTTCCTTTAAAAAAAAAAGAGAGCAGCCAAATTCTAACTTTAAATATATTTTAAATATACAGAGTCGCAAAATATTCACAGATGAGGAAGAAACAAACTTGGTACACTATATGTTACAAGACTCCAAGTACCATTAAGGATTAACAATATGTGATGCACATGCACTTACATATGAGTGTGCTTTGCGAAACGAAACCAAACTGGGAGAAATATTTTAAAAAATCTCGGATGATGCGGATTAAATGATTAGGATTAACATAACTCAGAATTAGTGAGAAATACATTCAGTAGAAAACTAGTAATTAGAGATTTATGCAATGATAACAGTGATGACGAAATGAACAGTGAAAGTGACAACAAAATATTTAACGATAAGATAAAAGTTTATCTACAAAAAAGTAGTGAAACAAGATTATATACAGGAGATTTTGCTCATAATCTCACTAGATTTGCTCAACAAATGGATTTGCATACAGGAAGTCGAAACTAACAAAATAAAACTTTATTAACAAAATTAAAAAATGAAAATTTATTTAGTTATAGTATTTTTAGAAAATTTCTACTTAACTTTTCACATCTTTTTAACTGTCCCAAGGTGTCCCACTAAATGGTACACCTTGGGACAAATAACAAGGTAACTAAACATTTTTTTAAAATTTTTTCATGACAGATACAAAATCAAAACCTAGTTAAAAATGTTTTCAAATGTTACAAGAATACCAGGAAAAATTTTGACAATATTTGATCAAAATAAAAAAATGAAAATAAAAAAGTGTCCAAAGGTGAGCCACTCTCCCCTAAAATAAAAGAATCGTACTTGAAAAGTTAAATTAAGTCACTACTGAAAATGTATTTATCACCAATCTGTCCGAGTGATTATATTTTACAATCCATGAAAATCTACATTTAGTGGTTAACTTAGTACAAAAAAATTTACGATTCAAGCTTGGCTTTTTCTATTTTTTCAAGTTTAATGCAAGCAATAGAATGGCTGTTTTAAAGAGACACTGAAACTTAGTAACTTTTAGAAAGCAAAAGCAGGATCCAATATGTACAGTCCGCAAAAAAAAAAAGATATCACCCTGAATAACTTTCGTTCTAATGATCCGATTAACAATTTTGTTTTATTAA